AACTTAGGCAAGTGTCTTAAGTTCTCTCATCCTTATTTCACTCATTGCTGTAAAGATTAGATTAGAAATATTACACAAAAGTGCTCAGCACATTGATGGCTGGTATGCAGCATTTAATGGATGTTAATTATTACATTATTATTCCAATAATACAGGATACTTCAAAGTTAACTTTCCAGTTGCTTTCTAAAATGCATAAAATCATGTAATTAAGATTACAAACATCATAATAACAATATCTAATGTTTATTGAGCATTCCCACTCATTAAACCTTCAGAACACGGGCAGACTGAATGCCATGCACATTTTGCAGATAATGAAACTGAAATATAGAGAACATAGCCAATGTCACATAGCTAGTGGAATGACTCAGAAAATCTAAGCAGGCAGTGGAGTTTAGTAGATTCAGAGTCGAGGAAATCATTAACATTTTAATATCAAAACATTTTTACTTCAAAAAGTAGCCCTTTCTCATTAGAGGCCACTCCCATTTTCCCAACCATTTGGACAGTGGAAAATATCCATCTATTTCCTGTGTCTGTTGATTTGCCTATGTTGATTTGATGTTATAGCATCCCAAACAGACCTAGTAAGAAAAGTTCATATGAACTCTTCATATGTGCTCTTCTACTGCCTAGCCAGTTTTTACTTAGCATGATTTTTTTTTTTAAAGTTCATCTATGTTCAACTAGATATCAGGACTCCATTACTTTTTTATTAAATTTTTATTATTTATATGTTAATTACAGTTTATTCATTTTGTATCCTAGCTATAGCCCCCATCCTCATTCCCTCCCCATCCCACCCTCCTTCCCTCATCTCCTTCCATGGCCCTCTACAAGTCCACTGATAGGGGAGGTATCAAAGCAGATGCTGAGACTCATAACCAAACTTTGGGCAGAGTGCAGGGAATCTTACAAAAGGAGGGGGAGATAGTAAGACCTGAAGAAGACAGGAGCTCCACAAAGAGAACAACAGAACCAAAAATTCTGGACCCAGGGGTCTTTTCTGAGACTGATACTCAACTAAGGACCATTCATGGAGATAACCTAGAACCCCTCCACAGATGTAGCCTATGGCAGCTCAGTATCCAAGTGGGTTTCCCTAGTAATGGGAACAGGGCCTGTCTCTGGCATGAACTCAGTAATTGGCTCTTTGATCACCTCCCCCTGAGGGGGAAGCAGCCTTGCCAGGCCACAGAGGAGGACAATGCAACTAGTCCCGGTCAGACCTGATAAGCTAGGGTCAGATGGAAAGGGAGAAGGACTCCATTACTTTTAACTGTTGTAGTATAGATAATACCACATTTTGTCTACTTGTTCCTGACTTTAAAGGACCCTGATTTTACTGGAACAGAATTGTTGGGTTATGCACGGACTCTATATTCAACTATTTTAGAAGGAACCACACTGTTTTCCAAAGTTGCTGCACCATTTTCTACACCCATCTGAAGTGTTTAAAGGTTTCAGTTTCTCATATACATACCAGCACTTGTTAATGTCTATCTTTTTTTTTTTTTTAATAGCTTGGTGGATGTTAGCACTTTATTTAAAATAATCTAGTTTGTCTTGATGCAATCCTAACTTTAGTAATGTACTGGCAGAATGTTGACTTTTCTCTTCCACTGTACAAAGACCCAGTGAGTAACTACCATCTGTGAACTAGGATGCAAGTTCCTACCAGACACTGAATCTATGGATACGTTCATCTTAGACTTCTCAGATACAGAATCTTAAAAACTGCATCTGTGTCATTGCCAAGACGTTCTGTCCTTGGGATTCTGTTATAGCATCCCAAACGAACCAAGATTCTGGCTAAAAGCATCAGGTTGGAAGGACATTTACATGGTATGTAAATCTTCACAGTGAATGATAAGGTTAATTTAGTTGGGCATGGACCACAGAGTCTATTTGGTAGTATAGCTTTACCCAACATTTTCATAGAAGAAAAACCACAAAAAGTAAAGATAGCTCTAAAAAAATTAATGACAAAAATGAAAACAATGAACAGAAAACAAACAAACAAACATTTGCGCGCAAGCACATGCTCGGAGGCAGCAGAACATCCAGCACTGTAGGCTGCCTTCCCAGCAGCACCATGGCTCTGTTAGGGTACCCACCTCCCCCAGTCAGCTCAGAGGAAGCCCTCTGGGTGTATGTGTTGGCTTATAGACAACTCCACATGGCCTTGCCCCTCAAACTGGCTCAGTAAGACTGCAAGGCCAGGCCACTGTTCTGGGTTGGTGGCCTCCTCCTGTGCGCCTGTTGCCAGCTACTCTGTGTCTCAGGCTCCCCTGTATCTGTGAGTACCCATAGGTTTTCAATAGGAAAGGGTCTGTCTGGAAGTCTCCAGGGTTTGTGTGGTAGCCCAAACGCATGTTCACTCTTCTCCACCCAGGTCCTGGTGCTGCTGGCAGCTCTCTCACAGGGAGGACAAAGCTGACCAAGGAGGACTCGTAACACCAAGAAACCTTTTTCCTAACTGTTCCCCACATGGCATCTGTTCTAATACCAGGCTTCCAGCTACGAAAATCAATCAGACTCCCTGTTGTGGAAGCAATCTTTGGGTTTCATTTCTGTCACATGAACTTGAAAGCATCCTGCAGCAGATAGCCCATCTCCCTAAGAGTCCAGGAAATGCGAATTGATACAGGAGAATCAGCAGAGCTCAGTGTGTGCTCTGAGGAAAGAAGAATCCTTATGAGGAAAAAGAAAACAGTCCACAGCACTAAGAGTTGTGGATGCATCAAGATGTTCCTGTGCTTTCTATTCAGATGTGGGGCCTCTTAAAAGAATCCTCACATCCTTCTCTGATCTGCAGAGCCTGAGGGAGGGAAATTGGCTTTAAAACCAGAGTGCATGATCACAAGCATGCAGATAAAGGAAATAAGAACAAAGTCAAATAAGAATAAGGCCTGTTTCATAAGTACATTGGAATCATGTTGCAGCTTTTCTTACCAGGGAGACCAAATTGATCAGTTAAGTCTAGTGAGTCTTAAAGACATCTTATCTCAGGTGATTTTTTCATACAAAAATGTGACTAATTTAAAACATATACCCAAAGGTAAAAAGCAAAGAACAAGGAGCTAGCCATGTCCATTATCCAGGTTTTAGAATTAGTAACGTTTGTCACCCTTGCCTTCCTCATACATAAGAGCTTTAGTTATTAGAAAACCGTATTATCTTCCACAAACTGCTGAGGCAAACATGGAAGCCCATCTGACCAATCACATACACTATTTCATTTGAAATATAAAACAACATAGAGAGGTTATTAGGAAATCAATACCCAGTCTCATCTTATTAATGTGCCTAAGAACACATTTAACCTAAAGCAAATGTAAGCCTGGTTATCTCTACCAAAATCATATGTAACCTTTAAATTTAGATTTAATCTACTGATGTAAGGCTGGAGAGATGGCTCAGAGGTTAAGGGCACTAACTGCTCTTCCAGAGGACCAGGGTTCAAGTCTCAGCAACCACATGGCAGCTCACAAACTGTCTACAACGCTAAGATTTGACATTCACACACAGACATACATGTAGGCAAAACAATAATCCACATAAAAAAGTAAATAAATAAAAAAAGGAAAAAAAAACTGTTCTCGTGTCTTATAGCTATTAAGTTGTCAGAATTACTTTGCTTCCATTTATAGAGTTACAGACAGTTGTGAGCTGCTATGTGGGAGCTGGGAGTTGAACCTGGGTCCTTTGATAGAGCAGACAGTGCTCTTAACCTCTGAGCCATCTCTCCAGCCCTCTTATGATCCTTTATAAAAACATTTATAGCTTTTTTTGTTCTGTCAAGGCCAGAAGTTCTCAAAGTATAGTCCAGGATTTCCTGGGTCTGGACCCTTCAGAAATTTCAAAGGCCCAAACTATCTTCTAGATAACACAGAGGAACACTTGGCTCTTAGCATGTTCCCTCGGGATCAGGCACAAAGGAGTCTCCAGGGGTTGTGTGATCTGTAACACAACAGAAGTGGGAAACAAGCAACATATTCCTGCTGCCTTTTACTAAAATGGGAACCGAAAAGACTTGAAAAATGTGTCATAATTTCAATCTTCTCACCACGTTTTCCACTTAGAAAATATAATTATTCATACTGCCATAAGATGACAGTATTTTTAAATAATACACATAGAACTAAATTTTTATTTCAGCTTTACTTTTTGATCACTGTATAGGAAATAACAGCTCCCTACTCCCCCAAACGAAACGAAACAAAACAAAAAAACCCTCCATAAAGCTCAGTAATTTTTTAAGGGTACCAGGGGGCTACTACGATCAAAAAGTTTAAAGACTGTCAGTCCACACAGATTTTCTTCCTTGTCATCTAACACCGTACAGGTTAGTTTTTGTCAATAACTGGAGCTAGAGTCACCTAGAAAGAGGGACCTGTATTGAAGAACTGCCTTCAACAGGTTGGCCCACGAGCAGATTGGTGGGGGCACCTTTTTGTGTATGCGTATAATTAATGATTTATGGAGAAAGGTCCAGCCCACCGTGGGCAGTGCCACCCCTTCATGCAAGCTATGAGGAGCAATGCAGCAAGCAGCACTCCTCCATGGTCTCTGGCTTCAGTGTCTGCCTCCAGGTTTCTACCGTGAGCTCCTGCCCTGGGTTCCCTTGGTGATGGACTATAACCTGTAAGATGAAATAACCCTTTCCTCCCCAAGTTGGTTTTGATCAGTGTTTTATCACAGCAACAGAAAGCAAAATAGGCCAGAAATTGGTACCTGGAACAGGATGCTGCTGTGATGAACTTGACTGTGTTGTTTTGGGAAGGATTGTGTGAGGATTTTAGAGCATTGAGTTAGAAAAGGTCTCTGTGTGATCAGAGATTAATGAGCTGGCTTTGGGTGCTAGTAAGACAGAAATGTACAGATGATGGGCTTGGCTAGAAGGAGATTCTTTACTAGAAATAAAACACCTTTTTCTCTAACATCCCTTCCACAACCTGTGGGCTGGGTGGACTGCTGAGGAAGTTAACACTCACCTTTACTAATTCTGTGTAGCCAGTCTCCCTCGGCGTCCACCACGGCTGAGCTTTCAGACCATTCACATTGTAGAGGGAACGCTGCCAGACAGAAGCGAAGTGCCCTCTCTTGTGGCCAAGCTCGTACCATTTATACGCCTACAGGAGCAGAAAGACTACTTCACACTGTTCTTTTCAAGGAAACATTTTTATTTCAAAATTAAAAGAGTTACTGTAAGCTCATCACCACTGCTCAGCATCACAGAGAATGTGGTGCTATAGATTGCTTCCCTGGGAAGAACTCAAAAGTCTAAATTCAAAGTGTGATTTCTACTGAATGCAGACAAAACTGTCAGTTTCATACCCAACAAAACTGAAAGGCCTGAAAAATGATGACCTATCTTAATACAGGGGCTGTCTGTACCTTGAGATAATTAAATAAAGATCTTACCCAATGAGACCTGGTGAAAATTCTGCGGTCTAACTAGCTTCTATAAGCCGTCAGGATAAGTGAGCAGCGGCATTTTATTTCCAATCTCAGGCTGTCAGCTTTGTGGATTCTGGACTCATGTCCCACCTATTTTGGTTTCCACGTATCTAAGCCAGTTTAGAACTCATTTGTTGAGAACACACATAACTTAAAGACACCAAAGGAGGCCACGCTTGTATTTAGCTTTCATTTTGTGATATATATAGTAAAGGAATGGATTATGGTTTAAACGATTTCAAACACATTTGGTATTTACTGAAATGGTCTGCTGGAATCAAGAGCAAATTCTTTTCCTAGTTACTGTCTTTGATGCCCCATGGAGACAGAATAGAGAAAAAGGAAATATTATTCAGAGTTGGCATAGTGTGGTGGCTTTAACTATGACAGACATAGTATGTATGTCAGACTTTTTAATAGGAAACCTTTGTTCATGACATGTGTACATTTTCGGCTATAAGGGACAGCACTCATAGTTTCAAGCTGGCTCTTGTGATATAACTGGCATCTAAAACTAGCTTTTTTTTGGGGGGGGGGAAGGGAACAGCTGCCTGCAGAGTACTCAGTCCATATGGCTGGCCCAAATGAGGGCCCACCATATGCTCCTAAGTGGCCCTGCCCTCAGGCTGCCTGCCTCACCCGCCCATTGTCTGCACAGAAAAGTTTTCTAGTGGCACAATGAGTACCATCAGCTCCACTGCTGCCTCTGGTCTAAAGACTGCTCCTTTGAGAGCTGTGTTTTTAAAAATGTACATCCCTCCTTACCTCTTATACAGTGTCTCCTCATAAGGACCAGGGTAGCCTAAAACGTCTAATTCTCCTGCCCTGGCTTCCTGAGAAGAGGGCTAAGACTATAGGCATGTATATTCATACTTGGATAAATATACATGTTTTGATCAATAAAAAGAAGCATTTAATGTTAAATTCCTTCTTTGTAAAATTCCAGACATAATAATTTAAACATAGAAACTATTGACTCTTTTTTATTATTTAAAAGAACTTGGAAGTAAATAAATTATATTTTAGTGTATGAAACTAGTAAACTTTTGAAAGAGTTTAACAATCATGTTTCCAGCTTTCATTGCTTAACATAGTAAAGGATCGATGTCCTTCCTATTTGCCACAACACTGCACTGTTTGCCTTTACTCAAATGACATCATCACATCTTTCTAGCAGCCTCAAATATTTCCATTTTATAAATGTTACAACTGAGGATTATAATAGCTAAATTCCTTGAGCAAGAATACAAGGCCCCTCAAAAAAAAAAAAAAGCTAAATTCTCTTTCTTTTTATCATATTTTGAAACCATAAAAAATTCTTAATTATCTTTCTCATTAAAATCTCAAAGAGCACACATGCTAATACTTTTTCTATGTTATCCTTGAAACACATGTAAGCTGGGCCCAGAATTGACAGCCCAGAAAGTTAAAATGGCTAATCAGGCTGAAAAAAAAGAAAATAGCACTCATCTTTGAAATTAATTTGATCATTGTGGTTTCAGCCAATTTGAATTTAAGACTTTGTTTCTGGAGCCTTCTGCTGTTCAACTGAACACTATTAATTACAATATATGATTCTTTTTTTTAAAGTCTGGTAGTTCATTAATTTTTGAATCATCAGTAATTCATTTGAAGGACTGCCGTACTGACGGAATAGTAGAGAAAAAGGTAATTATAGGACAACCTAAGCAGCAGATAGTGTGGCCCACGCTGCAGCCTTCGGGCTCTGAGGTTTCGGGCTGTCCTGTGCTGGACGCCCGAGCAAGGGGGGGGGGCCTCATAGTACCTGTTCACACTATCTATACAGTCTGCTCTGATGCTCACAGTGACCAGTACGCACTCAACAACAGCCTTGGATTTGCACTCCTCTGTCATTTCCCCTTTGTCAGACTGATGACAGATCAGGAATTTAAAAGTTCATTCTACTGGTATATTGTAGGATGAATTTAAAAACGTGGGCTAGAATATTTAGTTAAATAAGAAACCTGTGTAAATAGCCTCTACACAGAGGTCATTTATCAGGAGTTTTACATTCATAAAGAAGAATAGCGAGGCTGCAGCAGGAGTTCGTCAGCTACCTTGCTTTTTTGTTTTTTCTTTTGAAACAGGGCCGTGCAGCCCAGGTGGACCTCGGGCTTGGCGTGTAGCTGAAAGTGACTTTGAATTTCTGATCCTCCTGCCTTTACTTCCCGAGTGCTGGTATTACAGGAGGTACTACCAAACCCCTTTCATGTGGTGCTGGGGACAGGAAGAGTAGGCCAGCACTCTAGGACCTGAGCTACATCCCCAGCCTTGGGCTACCTTCTTACATGTATTCTACATCAATGTCATTTCTATATTGTCAGGTTATTGCTATGTGTTCTTTCCACAGACACCAACACACACACACACACACACACACACACACACACACACACACACACACAGAGAAAGACTCCAATTCTGAAATCTGTGTGATGGATCTGTCCTGAGAGATTGGGCTTGAACTGGTCTGTCTGGAGTGTCTGTCCACTGGGATCAGGAGACACACTTTTGGCGCTAACTCTGGGTGGCCACTTGGCCTGTGCTGAACTGTAATGACATGACATGGAAGCAGGGCTTTGTTCTATTTTGAATCACAGATATCTGGAGAATAATGTGGCTGGGTAGAAAATGAACAGCCAGATGCTTACAAAGATCACTGGGGTGGCTGATAAGAAACTGGAATCGGCGTCCTCCGAACAAGCGGGACTGCCAATGAGCCCAGGAACCCTGCTCCTCAGAACTGACCCTCAGGAATGGAGGAAAAGAGGGAGGAGCTAAGGCTGACCCCAGCTGTGAGTCAGAAGTTGGCCGTGAGGGAATCGGAGGCAGAATCGAAAAGGAAAATGATTCAGAGGAGAAGAGCGATCTTTCTGTGTGATCTCCACGCACTGCCCTCACACTGGCAGTAGACCCGGGGCGAATCTGCACTTGGAGAACGAGACTAGATATGAAGACAACCTGGACTGACGTTACGGAGCCTCTGAAGCTCGAGTGTTTCAGGGCCGCCATGGTTTGTCTTCCGCTCTCTCTCCTCCACTAAAAGAAGCGTTCATCAGAAACCCATTCTCTCATTTGCCGCAGACAGCAAAGCTGTGGGTTTGCCTCCCACAAGTCTATCCTCTTTCAGGATGGGTCAGCTCCATGGAGGAGAGCAGAGGGCAGCTGCTTCCCAGCAGGTAAGCTCTGAGACGCAGACTCAACACCTAATACTGGGTTATGCTAATGTGGGGCTTCTATGGGCGTGTTTCTGTTCCGTGTAAGGATGAATCCTTGCGAACTTTCCAAATTCAGGGACTGTACTGTTCTTTGCATATTAATGACAATTATGCTGGTAGAACAGTCCCCTAGGCTTAAATACCAGGCTCATAACAAGTGTTCAGTAGCGGATTCATTGTCCTTGAAGTAAGAGCTGTTTTCATCTAAGATATGAGATAAAAGTAGATTTCTTTCATCTGTCTTTGCCCTGTACCACAAAATGTTCAAAGATAAATTAATTAGTGACAATTATGTTTACAGTAATTGAACAGAAACTTTTACCTCGTGTTGGATACTGTGGCAGCCATTTTCTCATCCTTCTCAGTCAAAGGAGGGTTCTTTTTACTTCAAAAAGCATGAAGGAATGAAATAATGACTACCCATCAGCGATTTCTTCTCCCCTCCTGCTCTTCACTTCTAGCGTCTTATTCTATTTTAGTCAAATGATTGGTAGGTTAAAGGGGGAAATGCCAATCATCCAAACCTCTACTGCTCTGAGTTTGTTCCCGTTTCTTGCAGGAAACTGTACAGTCACAACACCCCTTGCTTCTCTAGCTTTCAGCTGTTCAGAGGGTCTTAGATTCTTACTAAATTTAGAAATCTGAAGCTATGTTGTCCTTAGATGTCACATAGAGAAGGCAGTGGTTACAAAGATTCACTGTCTCATTTGCCTTTTTTGAAGACAGCTGAGTTAGAATTCCTACAATGGTGTAGGATGGAAGAGGTGGGTCTTGTTTATCAGGATGTAAATCACAAGATTTGGAAAAGGCTAGAAACTTATGGCACATGATTTCATACCAATATCATATTTATATAAACTAACAACTGTGCTCAGGAAAAAGATAATGCCCAAGAAGATACTATGTCACTTGTTTTAGTTACTACATCTTGTGTATATGTGTGTGTGTATGTTGGTCTCTGTCATTATCCTAGCTATAAAAGTTCAGCTTAAATTTAATATAAATTTAAAACCATTATGACCACTGTGCTTGGGGGCTAGTCAAACAGTTGGTTCTAAAAACAACTACTAAAGAAATTCTAAAATAGAGCAAAAATTAAACTCTGCAAATGCTTTTCAAAATTAAAACAACTTTAGAAACCTCTGTATATCTTAGTTTGAAAGATACTTTCCCAAAGCAGCATTTACCTTTCTTTTCATGCATAGATACACTCAGAGTTACACACACACACACACACACACACACACACACGCACGCACGCACATAAACACACACACATAATACCAAAAGAGGCACTTTTCAGATTATGCATTTGATACCTGGGGGAAAATAAACAAACTATAAGATCCAAACCCTCTTAGCAGAACATTGCCTTCATAATTTATGCTAAAAATGCTTGTAAAGTTATAACTGGTTCCTAGAAGTACCCCCCCCACACACACACACACACTCTATCAGCTACTGGAAATAGTCACAAGCACACTCAGCAGTACCTCTTTGTTCCCGACCCTCTGCATAGCATCACCCAAGTGAAAATAAAACCGGCCATCATCCGTGCCAGGGTCCCCGGATTCGATTCCTTCCTGGAAAAAGACAGTATTACGTCTGTGAAGGCTAACAACTGTGGTCTCGTTCCTTGATTTCTGCAGATTTTCTTTATATCTGAACTATACAATCTCCCAGGATAACATGAGACCTTGAAAATTACATCTCATTACTAAAATTGGACAATGAATTTGGTGTCTATTTTGCAGTGCAAAAAATCAAATGAGATGATTGATCTAAGTTTAACAATAGGTCATAATTAACTGCTTTTGGAGTGGCGCATAAATTAGCATGCACGCTGTCTCCTTTCGCAGAGGGCGCCATCATCTTCAATATTGCAGATGATTCCTCTGTCTGGGTATTTTCACAGTTATTTTGCTCTCCAAGTCTGACCATATGCCACCTACAGTCTTTTTATCCCTGAACCCAAGCACTTCACTGCTTGTGTTCCAAGCGACGGCAGTCCAAGTTTAAGTGGTATTTCTTTCTACCCCAAACAAATGTGCCACAAGCAATTATTGTGACTTCTTACTAAATTTACAGGCGTCAAGCCAACTGGAATTTTGACACATGTAACTTTTACTAAACATTTTCTATTGTGAAATGTTTTGCTCTTTCTTCCATCTTTTCACCTAGGTGCTGGAATTGATATTTTTGTTTTTGTTTTAAAAAAGGGAAGAGAAAATACTAAAAGATTGAATATGGAAAAGCAAAACAATGGACAAAAGTGTGAAATAGTTTAATAGCAAGACTTCTTTTCCGAAGGTTACGTCTTTGAGGTCTCCCCATGAAAGGCCCATTATCTTAGGGCTGGCAAGATGGCTGAGTGTGGGAGGGTGCTTGCTGCTGCCAAGCCTGATGACCTGAGTTTGATTTCCAGATCCCAAGGAGAGAGACAGTTCCTGCAAGTGGTCCTCTGACCTCCACGTTCATAATGTGGATGCACATTCCCATGATTATACATTCTATATTACACATTATATATGCATTACACATTACACATTATATATGCATTATATAATATATATATAATATATATATATTATATATAATATATATATAATGCATATATAATGTATAATGTGTATATTATATATAAAATTTATATCTGTATACATATATACACACACAGATGTGAGGGCACTTTAAGGCACACCAGTGCACATACCCACATGGCTCTGGAAAGAATGGAGAGGTCTGCAGTATTCGACGACAGCCAGGACATACGGGAAAACAAGCCATTTAGAGGGGCACCATTGCTCAGCCTTGTGCCCCAGGGTTGTGGGACAGGTAGGAATCTAGAAGTCTGTGTGACACACACAGAGTGTGGGAATTCTCAAGACAGGCAGCAATTCCAACAGCGAGAATTGTTTGAAGATGTCACAAAAGCCAGCCGTAGCTCTCAAAATCTCTTCCCTCAGTGGGGCTTGCTCTTAGCTGCCACATTGTTACTATTCAAACAAAACAAATTAAACTTAAACTTTAACTGTCTTTCTCAGTCATAGTAGCCACATTTTAGATATTCAGTGTGTGAATAATACACAAGAGATATTTCTTTTTTCTTTTCCTTTTTTTTTTTTTTTTTTTTTTGGTTTGAGACATGGTTTCTCTATGTAGTCCTGACTGTCCTGGAACTTGCTCTGTAGACCAGGCTAGCCTCCAACTCAGAGATCTGCCTGCCTCTGCCTCTGCCTCTGCCTCCTGAGCGCTGGGACTAAAGGTGTGTGCTACCTCGCCGAGCAAGTGGTACTTCTATTATAGCATAGACTCGTCAATGCATGACAATCAGTTCAGGAGCCATAACTACAAAAGCAGATGGGAAGGAGACCACGGCAGCTACCTTCAGGTACGGAATGCTCTCAGCTATCTTGTTCTGCGCCTTCAGGATGAAGCCGTAATGCACCTTAGCAAAGCCGTCATTCGGTGTCACATTCAGAACCTGAATTCAAAGAAAACAAAGAGCTGCTGTGACAGAGAAGAAACTGTACAAGTGACTGTCAAAACACATTCTTAGAATGGATTATGATGTTACTGTTTCAAACACTGTGGTAGTGTTGTCTCGCTGCCATCATTAAACAAAACAAACCCATTGCCTCCCAACTCAAGATGCTTTTCACGCTCGCTGAACCAAAGTTGTGAATGGGAAGGCAGTGACTGCTGGAGCGTGTCTTTAACACTGCAATCAGAAAAATAACTGCCGATTGATAATGACTTCAAAGTTTTCTAGTGATGAGGAAATGGCTACAGATGCATGGGGAGCCTAAGAGCAACCACGGTGGCGTGACAGGGGCACTGCCATGGCCATGGAAATGACCCCTGCTATAATACGGAGCCCACATCACTGCAGGCGATACAGCACTCCTGAGGCTGTCCTGCTTCGAAGTACAACCGAATTGAATGATGAGGAAGTAGCTGACAGCCGAAATCGCCTGTGCTTTCCATGGGTGTGAGGGTGAAAACTACCCGAGGATCTGTTACAGGTTTGACATATCAGCAGGCGTGAGTAAACTGAGCCTTGTGGGTCTTGCATAGCAACACTGGAGAATCCTTAAATGTCGGGAACCTGTGTGTGAGCCTAGTGAGGTACCAGAAGTAAATTCTTTGACTCTGGGCTGTGAACAGAACGGCTGGGACTTGAGAGGACAACCTGTGTCCTACTTTAGCAACCTTTTGGAAGTGTGAGATTATTTTGAAATAACAGGCTTAATAATTACGAAGTAAAAATAGATTCTTTGGAGCACAATGATTTTAAATGTTCAATATAAAGTTGGTGGAAAAAAAATCCAACAGCCTGTGATAAAATGCAGGTGGGTATTTCACAAAGCTGCCCCATTTTTCACCACTACACGCATTTATTATGATCTAAAGATAAATTATGCAAAGTGCCCCTAAATTAAATATTAACAGAGAGAAATCAGCGCAAGAGCATTTGACTTGTGGGGCTACCTAGGAAATGAATTTCTTGAACAAAGAGGAAGACGGTGAAGATCCGAGTGGTACTTGAGAGGGAGAAGATGCCTGCGTTCTTCTCCTCTCTGTCCCTGAGCCAGTTAGGGAGTTGTTCTGTCTATCCCTTCCAGCCATCCCTCTGAGACACTCTAGACTCCTTGCTGTTCATAGCAAGCCAGAGACACCCTTGCCACAAAACTCTTACACTCACGATACCCCTTTGGCGCTCCCCTCGGGCAGCCATGTGGGTCCTCCCTTGTGTGAGAATGTCCTTGGTCAAACGTTACTACACCGTTCCGATGCATTTGACTCATGACAACCTCCAAACTAGAAAACAGACCCCACTCCCAGCCGTAGGTGCCCCCCGAGTTCTCTGTGTTCTCAGAGGACCTATCACCATCTGACCTATTTGGATACTTTATTCCCTCTCTAATACCTATGCTCCAGAGGGACTTTGCTTGACTCATGGCTCATGCCCCGAGCCTGGTGCCTGGTGACAGGAAACTTTCAGCAGCTCAAAGGTGCAGAAGGGTACACGCTGGGCTCTCCTTCCTAGGAGAATCTCTGCAGGCACAGGCCATGCTTCTTCAGCTCACAGGCCCCAAACCAGACCCTGCAGTGAGAAAGAACCTCCAGGACTGAACAGAATCAGTGCCAATCATGGTTCTGCTGCAAACAAATCCTAAATACTGCACTGCATGGATAACATCCATGCCTATTGCAGGCTCACAGACATCAACTCAAGTAACTACTGTATTTAAGCATTTACTGGGATTTCAAAACCCACCAAATTCTAGGCCCCAGAAATACAAACAAGAACGAGACAATCTTCTCTCTCAAAGGGCTCTCGGTCAAATACAGGAGACACAATTGCAGCAGACAAGGATGACCCAACAGCTTCCAGAAACAAACAGGCGACATGTGACATGCACACACACAGAAACACACATACAGACACACACACACATACACACATACACATATTCACACAAACGCATGTGCCCATGCACACACAAACACACACACAGGAAGAAATAGAAACAAGATAATAGGCGTAAAAAAATGGAAAGGAAGACAAGCTGCGTGTTGAATCACAAAGCATTCTGTTTAGGAATACAAGAAAAATAATCCCTTAGGGAGAAGAAATTGCCAGCACTTCTGCTCTGAAGTACACTTCCTAGGAAGCAGGGCCACAGCTCCATGCTAATTTGCAGGTGGACAGGCAGGAATCCTATCTGGCACATACAGAATCAGGAGGATGGGTAGGGCTGAGGCCCCAAAACAGCTGACAGTGCTGTCTGTACCAGTTCCTTTACATGTGTTTTTAACTTTGTAGATGGCAATGCAGTGAATCCACAGGTTTAATAAACCCACAGACAAGAAACCCAGGAAAATGTAAAATGATATTAGAGCATCTCTGTATCTACCTATTATCCACCTGAATATCATCTATCTGCCTGTCTATATCCATCTATCATCTATCTATCCATGTATCTGTCTATAAATCCAGTACTATAGCAAGTACTAGAAGAAAAACTCCAATCCAAGGCAGTTAACTATACCCACAAAAATGCAGGTAATAAATCAATAAATAATCTCATACTAGCGTAACCCAAAGAAAGAAACACACACACACCACCATCACCACCACCAACTACAACAAAATAACAAGAATTAACAATCCTTGGCCATTGATATCTCTCCACGTCAATATACTCAATTCCCCAATAAAAAGACACAGACTAACAGAACAGATGTGAAAACACGATACATACACCTCAGCATCAAAGATAGACATTACCTCAGAGTAAAAGGTTCGAAAATGATTATCTAAGCAAACAGACCCGAGAAGCAAGCTGATAGAGCTCTGCTAATAATTAACAAAATAGACTTTGAAACAGAATTAATCGAAAGAGATAGGGAAGGACCCTTCATACTTATCACAGGAGAAATCCACCCAGATGAAGTTTTAATTCTCAACACCTATGCCCCAAATGCAAGGGCACCCACATTTGTAAAAGAATCATTACTAAAGCTTAAGTCATGCATCCACCTCCACACATTGATAGTGGGAGGCTTCAACACCCTAGTCAAAGCAATGGATAGGTCATTCAGACACAAGTAAAACAGAAAAATAATGGACTAACAGATGTTATGACTCAAATGGACCTAACCATTTCGCCTGAACACACACAAAAAAATATATCTTCTCAGCACCTCATAGAACATTCTTCAGAATTGACCACAAACTTCGTCACAAAGGGAACCTCAACAGATAAAAGAAAACAGAAGAAACTCCCTGCATTCTCTCACACCTCAGTGGATTTAAGCTGATTTACAGCAATGACAGAAACAACAGAAAGTGTACAAACTCATGGAAACTGAACAACTCAACACTCAGTGACTACTCGGTCAAGGCAGAAGTAAAGAAGGAAATTAAAGACTTCCCAGAATTTCAATAAAAATGAATACACAAAATACCTAAACTTTTTAAATGCAAGTCAAAACAACTTGGAGATTCCATCCTACACCTGCCAGAATGGCTAAGATCAAAACCACAAGTGATAGCTCATCCCGGCGAGTATGCAGAGTAAGGGGAACACTCCTCCATTGATGGGCGGAGTGCACACTTGTACAGCCAGTTTGGAAATCATATGGCAGTGTCTCAGAGAAATGAGAACTGATCTACTTCAAGATGCAGATATACTCAAAGGATGCTCCATCTTACCACAAGGACACTTGCTCAACTGCGTTCATAGCAGCTTTATTCCTAACTGCAGAAACTGGAAACAACCTAGATGTCCCTCAATCGAAAAATGGATTTTAAAAAAATGTGGTATATTTACATGGAGCATTACTAAGCTCTTAAAAAAATGACATCATGAAATTTGCAGACAAATGGAGGAAACTAGGAAAAAATCATCCTGTGTGAGGTAACCCAGACCTGGAAAGACAGACAGAGTATACACTCACTTATAAGTAGGTATTAGCTGTGAAGTAAATGATAATCATCCTACCGTCCACAGACGCAGAGAGGGTGAGTAATCAGGAGAACTTAAGGTGGGATGCAAGGATCTGCCTGGGGCAATAGAACAGATTTCATGAGTGGACTGGGGGCTGATGGGGATGGGGCCAGGAGAGATCAGGTTGGAGTGGGGACATGGAGGGAGAGAAGAGATGACTCAAAATGGGGGGCGTTTTGGGACTGAGTGAGAAACCTAGTACAATGAAAACTCCAGGAAATCTACAAGGGTGACACTAGTGAAGACTCCTAGCAATGGGGGCACTAACCATCCTCTGTAATCAGGCAAGGCCTCAAGTGGAGGATTGGAACACCAATCCAGCCATACAACCTCTGACCTAAAGTTTTGTCATGCTTACAGGATGCATGTTGCCAGGACTGGAGGCCAGCATAATCATCACACAGACCAGAGAAATTTATTTCATCCAGCAACACATGGGAGCAGATGCAGAATCTCACAGCCAAATATTAGGTGGAGCTTGGGGAGTCTTCCACAGGAGGGGTAGGAATGGTTGGAGGATCCAGAGGGTTCAAGAACACAAAAACAAGGCCCACAGAATCAACTGACTAGGACTCAAATGGGCTCCCAGAGATCAGGGACATGTATGGGTCTGACCTAGGTCTTCTACAGGTATTTCAAGAGTTCTCTGTATACAGTCATACTCCAATTTCAGACCAGGAAAAGAAACCAAGCGTTGTCTTGTAGGGAATCTTTTACCTGGATTGCTACCGGAGATAATAAAAGATAAATACAAGAATAGAAGGTAGGCCCAGCATACTGGTGCACTTGGGAGGCAGAGGCAGGCAGAGCTCTGTGTGTTCGAGGTCAGCCTGGTCTACATAGAGAGTTCCAGGACAGCCAGGGAGACCAGGGCTACAGAGAGGAAACCTCTTTCCACACCCCATCCTCTGCCTCCAAAAAGTGAATGCCCTTTTGTTGGATCCCTTCTTAAATTTTTTTTGTCTTGTAAAACAAACAAAACATACAATAACAAAAGAGAATCCATGCTTTAAATTGTGTGTCACTGTGAGTAGCATGAGAAAATGTTTAATTATACTTTATGTTCCTGGGATGTGAATCGCTGATTTTTCTGCATGTCGTATTGTATATACTACCCAACTTTGTTGTCAGAATTTGTCTGACTGTTTCTACTATCACAGTGCTTCCAATAATCCTCATCTCACTTAATCGTGGAGCAAAGCACCGCTGCAGGGTAACACACTAGAGGCATACTCCGGCTCTTAGAATAGATTCATCATAGATGCACAGATATTACCAAACCATGAGTAGCACTTCACAGTGATGATACCGAAATAGGAACATTTTAGTAAGAGTGAAAGGATTTTTGTCAGTTCACTAAAACTTGAAAGGCATTCTAAATATTTCATTTGAGCTTACAGTCTTATTTGGGGGGGTGTGTACTTTTTATAAAGTATATCCAGTATATAAATAGACAACACTTAAATCTATAAAGAACTGCAAACATTTGATTGAACACTTTGGCCTGGAAGCGTACACCAGAAAGGATATTTAAAGGACCCTGGTGTGGGAGGCACAGCAGAGTGGGAGCTGAGAGCTATGACGAGGTGGTACTTGGGGTGGATGAAGGTCAGAAGGCAGCAATCCTGCAGAGGGATCTGGGTCAGTTCCAGCAAAAGGTCATCAGTGTCTGGGTGACAGCATTGGGAGGGTGAATCTATTTGGGAAAACAACTGAACAAGTCTTGACTTGGTCCCAGACTCCATGAAGACACACTATGTGTTGCTTCGAGAAGCTCAGGTCCTGAGCTGGTGTGTGTGCGTTTCATGAATGTGGGCTGGCTGAGTTACGGCATCTGCAAAACTTGTGTGTGGGGGGTGGGGAGGGCATCGAAGAACTTGGAATGATGCTGGCTTGGAAAGGAAATGTGGGAGGAGCCTCCAAAAACTACAGGCATGAGCAGCCTCTACCCAACCTCTGTAAAGCTAGTCTCTGGGCTGAAAACAAAAGCAGAAAAACAAACAAACAAAAACTAAAAATAGGATCTCACAATGACTTTTAGAAATATACTCAAAAATCAATGTGAAGAAAAATATGCAACCCTGGTATTATTTTCTGAAATGAACTTGGAAAATGAGATAAACACACCAGGCCAAACTTTGGTTGGGAAAAAGAGTATCCATTAGCCACAGCTCATTAGCTTAGAAGGAAGAGGGAGAAGAAAATGAGGAGCACACATTGCTTGCCATGTGTTAATGCTTCTTTGAAAAGAGAACCAATCCATTGTGTGACACGGCAATATTTGGAGCTTCGTGCACCCTAGTATGCTCAACCAGGGGAGACTGTGGTCTCAGGTGCATAAACAACATGATTTTAGTTTTCAAGGTGAAGAAAAATGCTTCACATTTCTGAGACTTAGTGTCAGGAAGAAGAGATGAGAGTATTCGAGGAAGAAGAGATGTGAAACGCAGTTAGATGCTAGTCGGTACGAGCTCGCAGCTGCTGTGACCTCATACGTGTTGGCTCAGAGAGAGTAATTCACTGGGCACATTAGATTAAAATCAGGGAGTGAGAGAAGGATACCAGAAGGAGAGGAAAAAAAGAGAGATGGGAAACAAAGGATTTTATGAGGAGAAAGAAGGCAGTATGGGAAGGAGGGGACAAAAAGAAAGGAAGGACCCTGTACTTCCACTTTGTGTCCTTTAAGATTTGCTTTTTCTTTTTACTTTGATAAGATCCTGAATCACCAAGACAAGGTGTCTCTTTTAGTCAAACTCTGGAGGAGAGGGACACTGGGTATGTGAGCAAACACCATGTCCCACATGCCATTATCTTATGGACTGAGGTAGGTCTTTTCTAGATGACACATTTGCAGTGCTGTAGTCTCAGTCCTCCCGTTCAGGTATGAATGATGCCATAGAGAGATAAGGCCCAACTTCCGCTCTCTCAAACACATTAAAAAGGATGACAAGGGTAGAAAGACAATAGCTTCAAAAAGTCAATGCTTTTTCAATTAAGCACCAATAGCAACGGAGGCAAGCACCGCGTTCTGAGTGCACGCACTTTCTGCGGGTGAGGCTGCTACTGTTGACATTTCCAATGCAGAAGGGACCCTTTGGCTACACAGCTAGGTCACCGTAGTTGCATTTAACGCACAGGCAGCAGTTTGGAAACCATTGATCCAGAGGCCCAAGTTAAAGAACATGGACATGAATCCATTCTTGTTTTATGGAGATCTTAGCTCTCTCCTGATTCAAAGTTCATTAAGTACCCTGTTGGCTGTATACAAATAAATTCCCTCATTGCCTAAAGGAACCAGCTGTCTAAGTTTCCTAGTTACTTGTGACTTAGAGGTTATCTATTAAAACATTCACTATCATGCAGAAAGCCTTTGAAAGCCATCCTGTCCAGGGGAAGGAAACATCAATGCCACTTTGAAAACTGTATAATCTACTACTTTTGCCTGAGAGGCTCATACTTGCGAAACTTGAAAAGACTCTAATTTTTACATTTATCAACCTCATTATTAACCTCTTCCCTACTCCTATCATGAAGAAAACCCTTAGAAAGTTGTCGATAGATTGATAAAAATGAAGCTTAAGTCACAGTTAACTAAAATTTAAATTGTTCCAATCAAGATATAGGGACCAATATGGTAAATGTATAGGTATACTTGAATAGACGTTATGGGGTCTATCACTTTGTACAATGGTGACACAGCAATAAGGAGAAAAAATGGTCATGGCAGCATCAGGAAGGCTGAGGCAGGACAATTGCCATGAGTTTGAGGCCAGTGTGTGCTAGATGCAACATTCTGCCTCTAGGAGGGTGTGAAGGAAAGAAAGAGCAATGGGAAAACCAAGTCCACAATATGTTAGCACTCATAATAACTTATATACTATTTCATTCAAGATAAAGAGAACAGGACGCAGTGCACATTCCATGTAATTTTCGATCAGCACTTGAACTTACTCTTACTGTGAACCATGAACACAGCATGGTTCATAGAAGACCAGTGCTTACCTCTTCATAAACCTTCTTGGCATTGGCATTGTCTCCCATCAAGAGGTATCCGACACCAAGGTCATTTTTTAAGGTAGTGTCACTAGGGAACAGCTGAACCAGTCTCTGGAGGGTGAGCAGAGAGCCTCTCATGTGACCTGATGTTGGAAAAAGATGAACAGGGATAAAAATTATTATGAGCTCCTTTGTCCTGAGAATACAAACCGTGAGAGAGGATTTAACAGAGCCTGAAAAACACCTTCCATCTGACTTCAGCTGTGAATGGATTAGTAAGTCCTGAGCAGCAGTTACAATGCTATCCGCAATGGCTATGTGTAGATACTAAATACAATATCAATCATAAATTGTAAAGGTATGCTTACTTTCTGAGTCAATTCACATTTGCATTTTTATCTGAAATTCCTTCTTCAGAAAATGTCAGTTACCAATTCCTTAGAAAAATATTCTGTTGAAACAATTTTGGCTTATTCGCTTTTAAATTTTAGATAGAGCACAGATAGTAAAAGTCTGGCTTAGGGCTGAGTGGTCAGTAATGATACTTCAATGGTCACCGAAGGGCATGGAACAGGCTCCGCTGTAGACACTTCCTCTAACAGATGTAACTTGTCCCCTAGGTGCTGATCTAGTTGAGGTGCAGAGGAGCCATTTTCCAGTGCTATGGGACCCTCTGGTGGAAGACAGGCTACGGTGCACCAGATGGCTCAGGAAACTCCAGCTGCTGCTTACTTGTAGGCCTTAGAAGGAGATAGCCCAGGCCCCCTGACATTGTTCTTTGCCACAACTTGAAAAAAAAAAAAACAGCAAATGAAAAAAAAAAGTGCTAAGACTAGCACTTATAAAAAGCTACCTTACAGGGATTAATTGCCTGCAGAGGGTATAGCAGGAGGCACCAACAGGTTCAGTCAGAGAATGCAGCTGTTGCTCTCCTCATGGAAGAAAACTTGGCCTATCTACTCTGTGGTCTGTGCCCCATTGCCAGGTGATGCTCTCCCAGTCATGACTCCCAAGTGGTTTGCCCATAGGTCATTACAGGACAATGGGCCCAACGGTGCAAACAGAAGTACACCTGCTGCTTTTCCTGTCCACACTGTGTCCTGGTCCCCTGCTCTACTGGAGACCATCTCCCTGCAATCCCAGGATCTTTCCAGTTGCCCGTGAGCCTCCTCATGGGACTCTGCCTCACTCTCGCTTCGGCAGAAGAGACTAAAAAAACGGAAGAATTTCTGTGAAAGGTGAGACACCGTCACAAGACACCTTGATCTACAGCTGGGAGACAAGAAAATATCTTGGTATAAGAACTGAGAGGGAACCGAAGAAAATCCACAATTCTAAGTTGAATAATATTTTAACAGGTTCTAAAAAAAAAATAAAAATTAGTGTAAAACTCCACAATGGTTCTGTATGTTTTTATAAGCACGTGTGTGCGTGAAAACAGAGGCTAGAGGACGACCTTGCGTACCCCTTCCTCAGGAGCTGTTGGCCTTGTTATGAGAGTCTGAGAAAAGCTCAATTGCTGGCAAGCTGGCCAGCCTGGCAAGCACAAAGACCTGCGTGTGATACCCAGAATCCAAGCAGACCGGCCACATGTGTGGTGCAGGTTTGTAATCCCCTGTTTGGGAGGCAGAGACAGGCAGAGCCTTGGGACTAGCAAGCCAGCTGGTCTAGGCTCTGTGAAGCACTCCAGGCCACTGAAAACCCTGTCTTAAAAAAAAAGAGAAATGGCACCTAGGTTTTCCCCGGGCTGGACACTCATAGATATGTGCTTCTGTACATGCATATAGGTACTTGTGTGTGTGTGTACACAGACAGACTGGCACATTCCCACCGCACATGCATGTCCACAATTACTGAGGTTAAATTACTGGTCAAATGTAGAAAAGGTCTGTTAGAGACAGACAAGTTTCAGGGAGCTAAAAGCCAGGCTTCTTCCTAGGCACTTGACTTTGAGAAGGTGCCATGTCGCTGCCACTGAAGACGGACATGCTCCACCTCCCACCAAGTTCGTGCTTCTGCTTCTCACCTAGAAACTGCTGCCTCTCTGACCGTCGCCTCAGGCTCAGCTTCACCAGGTCTGCGGGGGCATCAGGCAGGTCGGCCGCCTCCTGGTAGCTCTCGATGGCCCTGCGCAGAATTTCATTGCTCCTCCTCTTCTCTGCCAAGTCATCTTCACACTGGAGGAAGGCCCCGGACAGGTCAGTGCCCTGTAACCTCCATGCTTGTCATTTCCCCCAGACATTTGTGGCAGTCATCTCTTGGCATGCTTGTTAAAGAGACCACAGACCTTTTCCTTCTCAAAGGATGCAAGCAAAGGAAAGCAGGGCAACTGCTGTTTCGACAGCAAGAAGTTGCTGAAAGCTTAGTTTGTCATTAAGTTACAGATGGGAAGGAAGACAGTAAGATCAAGAAAATACTGTGTAGGGCTGATGGGGAGGAACGTAATAATATATGAGAACATTATAGACAGGCCTCTGTTCTTCAATCTGTATGCTCAGTGGCTCATTCATTTAACCCCTTCATTCATTCATTCATTCATTCATTCATTCATTCACTCACTCATTTAATAGCTCTCTTCAGGGGCCAGACACTGGTCTGTGTGTGTGTGTGTGTGTCACACTAATTGAACAAATCAGGATGAGACCATTTTCCTTCAATTTAGGAAAGGATTAAATGATAAATACAAACAGAGGTGCTGGGCATAGAAGTAGCAGACTGATGCATGATGAATGTAGAATGGGAACGTTACTGGTTTAATGGGGACAATGGGGGTGTCTGAGAGAGGGGACAGGCTGTGAGGCTGTGGAGGAAGATCGCTGGAGGCAGAGAGAAAAGCAGGCGCAGAGGCTTTCTGACGAAACGAGGGATGAAGGAAAGGTTGCAGGAGTGTAGGGGAGGAGGGCAGAGATGCTGCCATCAGGCAATCCAGGCCTGGTAAACTACTGAGGGGTCTAAACTATTCCGTGAGGAGAAAGGTAAGTGATTGTGCTAGCAACAGCACTGAGAGCAGGCTAAGAGATGGGCAGAAGCAGGGAAGCCAGGCCTGGGACAGCAGTTGTTTGGGCTAATGCGGCTGTGGTGAGTGGTAGGAAGAGATGGGATTACAGATTCATCTTGAAGGTGTGGGCCAAGGGAGCCACAGATGCTGTGAGTGTATTTATAAGAGACATAAAGAGAGAGGAGATGAATTCAGGGTTTGGTGTGAGTGACGACCTGACTGGGATGCCATCCCCTGAGAATGGGACAATAGGACAGAGGCAGGTCTTGGAGAAACATGGAATCAGGAGTTCAGTTTTTGGTACAGTAAACCAAATGTCAAGTGGAGATAAACACTCAGAGGGTGCATTTCTAGGTGTGGAGTTCAGAGAGAAGTTGCCATTAAGGACCCGTACATTGGAGTTGTCAAGGAAGGATGTATGTAGTATTTAAAGTTGGAAAGCTCGAAGAGCCTTTATAGACTCAGAAGAGTTCCAAGGACTAAATTCTAAAATTATCCAATGTTTCAAGATCATTAGAGGTTAGGAAGGCACATTTTCTCCCATGAGAAAATAGGACAATAAAAATGAGTTTCATAAGAAGACCTCAACAACACATCGATGCCCCGGAGACAAGGTGGAATACAAAGGTTATAAGAAGAGAAGTTATGTTCCAAGGGGCCACCAAGTTGGTCAAGAGGAGGATTGCAAAGACATTGGAATGGACTTGTGGAGACTCAATGGCCCTGGCATCACTGTTTCCATGGGATTGTTGAAGACATGCACCAGAGTGGAGCAGTATCAAGAGAGTGTGGGAAGGTTGCAGGAGGGCTAGCTTTAAAAGCGGCCAGAGGTAGAGGTACTGGGAGAGGGAGCTGAGAGCCCAGGGAGAAGGCTTATGGATGAGATAGTGCATTGTAGCTTCTCATCAGAAGCAAAAGACCCAGTGGAAAGGAACTATTTGATGACAAACGAGAGGGCACAAACACAAGGAAGACTTCCAGTAGGTGAGAAGGAAAGGGGACAAGTTCACACCTGCCAATAGATGGACACAGGAATCGGTACATCTGTGTCAATCTCTGGAGACTTTTATCCCAAATTCCTAACTTGAAATTGGGAATGAAATACCAGAGACAGGAAAATAGGCAGAATGTGTAAGATTCAATAGCTCATCAGATTTTACAGACTTTCATTTAAAGATCAGCACTCAAGGAAAAAAAGGATAACAGGCTTGATGGTGAAAGTACTATGTGAAATCTTTAATCAGAAAATGGCAATGGAACTACTATTTAAAATAAACTGCGTGCTGGGCTAATATATAAAATCTGAGGACTTTGGTAAGAAAATCCTCGTTTCTCCACCTTCAGACAAGAAATAATTTGCAAAAGCCAACACCAGTTGATAAAGACATTTGTGAGACAGTCCTTCTCAGAACGCAGCACATCAAATAATGTGTTAACCTGCATTGGTTAGGATAAGGTTCCCAGGATAATAAGAGCTCAGTGGAAGCCGTGGATAGACGTGGATTCATAAGGAAGAAAAATTTGTTATAGCATTTCACTCTTGCTTGATGGAAATACACATCAGACCATTCAACCGACTTTTGAATCCACAGCAGGCTCATCCAGCAGATTCAGCTCCTGGGACAGGAAGTCCCATTTCAGTGATCCATCCTGGGCACATATGCTCCCACTGGCTACAGAGAGTTAACCTCCAAGACTATGGCTATTGATGGATAAGTACAGAGAAACAACATGAATCGAGTGAGTTCTACAGAGACCACGGAGAGGCCTGGAGTCTGCAGAACCTCCCAACAGAACCGAGGGCTCTGCGAGGTTAGCGCAAGGACAAATGCTGACCTCCATAATCCTCAGACAGACAGGTGTCCTATCCTTTAAAGCCAGGCTGGAAAGAGAGAAAGACATACAATCCATGTGCCCTTCCCTTCTCAAGTCCCTGGATCTTTCATTTTAGGCAACTATAACTATCATAACAACATGAAATTCTTAGGAACGCAGATGAATGGGACTAACAACATTCGTATAGAAATCAGAAATGTATACATGATTTTTTTAACAGTTTTATATCTATAGCTCACACAAGCCAGGCTGAGAAAGAACTTTTGCCACAGGACATTTCTGTCACACAGCCTTTTGTGGATGGACTAATTCACTCAAACTTCCTAGGGAATGTGTCACTTCGTATTTCAGAGCCACCAATGGATTGTGAAAGATAATGAAATGAATTCAGTTTGTAATGTAAGACCTTTGCATTCACTGTTGAGGGAACTTGCTCAAAATTGACCTTCACAGAGATGCTATCATCACGATGTATCAGTGATCCTTAAACACACAGACACTATAGTTTGATTTTACTTGGTGCTGGCTCTTCTGGCTCTGTTGAGATATTGCAAGAAACTGGTTAATTTGCTAAGTGAGAATGAAAAAAGCCACAGATTAGTCCTCCTTACAAAATCTGTCGATTTTTATTTTTAAAACTCATATGAATTTAAAGTTTCCTGTAAATTACTCTATTAAAATTTAATTTACCATGCTTAACTTTTGTTTTATGCCACATTAGTGTTAATATCAATAACATCTGTAGCGTAGTAGCTTAGAGATTAAAAAATACTGCCCGAGGCCCACATCTTAAATTCCTCCTGTGAAAGAAGACTACACATACAGAGATCATCACATTGCAGAGGCTCCAGTAACCATGATTAAAATCACATACTTGGAAAGTACAAAACATTTTTTTTTTTTTTGCCATAACTAACATCTGCACAACCGTATTCTCTCCTGTTAATGAGCTTTCTGTAATCAAAGGACTCGACACTAGCAACAAGGCACATCACTTCTATGGACATTCTGGATCTTTTGGTAACAAACATTTTCTCTTAGTAGTTTCCCAATGTTAGAGGACAATGGCCCAAAACCACAGAGTTGCTATACACTAAACCTGGTACACAGCAAGGACAAGGGAAACTTATTTGCATTGATTGTCTAACAACTTAGATTTGTGCAAGTTTAGTTAATGAAAATTGAATTAATTGCCCTCTAGTGGGACAGAAAGGATCAGAGCATCCACCTTCAGTTCAGAGCTAGACACACTTCCTGTAGATGTGTGACTTCCTGGGAGGAACACACACAAGTATTGTGGAGATAAACATGTTTCTGTTTTGGTCCCAGGTGTGGGATGTGGGACTGATTCAGATGGTCCACAGCAGCAGACTATTTGCTTCATGTGGGCTCTGAGAGGAACTCTTTGCCAGCTGCACATAGTTTAAATCTGAGGACTCTGGAGAGAGAATAAATACCAGAGCCCAGAGGGTGTGGAGCTCAGAGAAAGAATGAGGCTGTTCCTGGTTGCTGTTGTGAGACAAGAAGTTGGAGATCTCCTGAAACGAGGATGGGACTGGCTCCAAGGAAGCCAACGACCCTAACCGGCAGGAAACAGCTAAGGGAACCTGCCCCGTCTCCCACTAACCCTTCTCTCTCTTACCTGGTGTTGGGGTGTGGGAAGAGATTGGGGTGGAGTACGGAGAAAAAGATAAAAGAAATGTAAAAAAAAGTTTTTAAAAACTAACCCCCACATACAAGGAAATGCCACCTGCTGCTCCTTGCTTCACTAACGTCCATCGGTAGCTCTCTACCCATTTCTTCTCATCTCCTCCGCCCCCAGGGAGGACTGCAGGAGCTTTATGGCCTTGACAATTTTGCTCACCAGCTCTGGCTTTACTCTTGAGTTCCCAATTCCATAAACCCAGTGTCTCCTTGATGCAGCCACAGGACTATCTAATGACCACTGCAATTGCAAACCAGATCAAAAGCAAACTCCTGATTTCAGCCTCTCGTCAAACCCGTGGTTCCGCTTGGTCGGTTAATTGGCATCACCGTCTCCTCAGCTGTTCACAGCAAACCAGGGGTCACCGGCCAATTCTTTATCTTTGGCCCTTCTATCTAAAGCCATCTCTAATCTATCCCTGCCCTTATCTCCCTCCATGGCCAGGCCACAGGCCATGCCTGCCGCCAGCAACTCATGCAGCTGACACTCCAACTTCCTCCTCCTTTCTGTGCATCTGATTCTGCTCTCGTAACCCACTTCCGACCAGCATGCCTCTCTCTCTGTTCAGGTTTCTGATGCCAAGATAGTTGTGCTGAATCACAGTCTCTCTTTATCTGTTCCCTCTACCTGGACAGCTTCTCCCACAACCGTGACACACCTCAGCTACTGTCTCCTCTCAAGAAAGTGTTGTCTTCTCTGTCACCTTCACTCACATCAGCTACAACCAAGACTCGTAATAAGTGTGCGCTCTTCCCTTTGCCCTCTTCCCTTGCTTACAGCGTACACTGTTAGGTGATATGATCTAATGTATTTATTTTCAGTGCCTTGTAAGATTCAACAAGGTGTTCATTTATAAAAACTTTCAAGGGTTCACTCAAATATTACCTTCCTGGTGACCATTTCTCTACCATGGTTGACACCCTCAACCTAGCTAGTGTCCATTCCCTGTTTCTTTTTATTCTCCTCAGTCACCGCTCGAAAGTCTATGCGTGCTACTTCCTTATCTTATGCAATCTCTTTCCTTCACAGTGGAGCTTTGTGAGTACATTTTTGCTGATGGATCTATATATCTAGTTCCCAACAGAGCCTGACACAGTGGGCTCTCACTACATACCTGGAGTTAAGTAGCCCTCAGGTCTCCCTTATATTACACTGGGAACATTTTCATGTTGTCTGTATATGATAACAGTGGAAACCTCAGAAAACCTCCAGGGATTTTGCTGTCTGAGAGACGGCAGAAGAGCAAACAAGGCTTCATATGCAGCCCACGCAGCCCACAGCCCGGCCTCCTCTCTCTAGCCCTGCTGCGCAGGAGGTGACATCCTTTGCCTTAGTCACCCTGGGGTCAGATGCTCAGCAACCAAAAGCCATTCCTGTGGCCCCGGCCTTGACAGTGCAGTTCAAGCCAGGCAATCCTGGACTCCCCATCCCACCTCACCTGACTTCTCTCATGGGAAAGCCCCGAAAGATCATGTTAAACCTTCCTTCCCGGTCTGCCTTGCATTGCTGCCATCCTTCCCATGGGAGGGCACAGGGTACCCACTTCCTGTCTTTCTGTCAGGAGTACAATCAACTATTTGGTGCTGAGCCATTTCTGTGTCCTCTTTTGTGATCGTATCTGACTCTCAAACAAATGCAAAGCAGACATTCCCAGCACAGGTTGGTTCAGGAAGCTGCAGGTGAGTGTGCCAAACCTTGTGACAGCAGTTGAAATATAGAAGAGGAGGTGACAGGGAAAGAAACGAGGAGGGAGGTGCCTGGTAAGAAATGTGTCTAGTCAAGAAACAAAGTGCCGTCCAAGTGACAGTCTGAAAAGGTCTTTTCAAGGCAGAGTTATACTCTTTAGTCATATACACAATGGAGTCCCAAAGCTCCAAGGAGCCTGAAATCAAAACCATGAGAAAATTCAAACGGAAGGTAGTTAGGGGTGACACAGGACCAATGGCAAAGGTGTCCTCCCACTTTATGTTCTTTGCAAAGCCAGAGAGACAAGTTCTCTGGATGTTTCTGGAGTCGGCAGCATCCAGTACTGAAAACTGCCTTAATTAAAATGCCACCCACGGCTCCAAGTGTATGCATATACTTGAGAAACTGACTATCTAGAAATTATAAGAGGCGCAGATAAAAAAGAAAAGCAAACACAAGAGAATAAAAAACTAGATTACACAGAACGTGTGAACTCCAGCAAAGTGTTTTGGTGAGTTGGGCCCAGGTACCTGTGCTTTGCCGTATCTCGCTCGTGGGCTCTGAGGGTACTTTCGAACCAGTTCTTCAAATGCGTTCACTGCTTCTTCAGTTTTACCCTGTTAGAGAAGCACAACTCATAAATACAATCCCGTTGATTAAATAACTATTAAATAACAAATATTTTTGTTATTTAATAGTTTTGTTTTGTTATTTAATTTTGTTTTGTTATTTAGTTTTGTTATTTAATAGTCACCAAATGATTAGTCAGATTTTTTTAGAATTCTTTCTTGAATGCTAAACAGAGTTGCCTCCTTTAAAAAAAAAAAAAACAACAAGCTGTGTTAAGTAACAAACATGAAACTGTAATGAGTGTTATCTCTTAATTTTTAAAGTGATGTGTGCTGATAATGATGAAAAATGAATTTTGTTGAAGATGACCACATTTTTCCCTCGATCTATAGAGCCCCCACATGTTTTCTTAATGAAGATATTTAAGTTACATGTGGGGGCCAACACCGTTTGCAGTAGGATGCCTTGGGCCTGTCGGAGGCAATGAGGCGTCACCATAGCTTTGCAGTGTCTGAGAAGGAGGAAGAATAAACAAGGAGGCCTCGAGGGCCGCTTGGCCATGGTGCTGGTCTCTGGCGGAAGTCAGGGTCGATTTGGCTCATCTGGCTGAGTGGAACACATGGCTGCCTCTGAGGCATGCATGAGCTCTTAAGTGCCTCCTCGACGGTTCTTTAAAAATAAATACCATCCATTTCCTATGGGGGATGTAACAAATTACAACAAATTTCATGGCTGGAGAACTAAAGGCTGAAACCCGTTTCATGATGTTGGAATCAAGGTGTCAGAAAAGCTCCGTGAGAGACTAAGTGCATGCCAAGCTAGCTCCCAACGAGGTCGGCATCCCGTGGCCCATGACTGCATTGCTTTAATCTCTTCTTCTAATTTCATATCAACACACACACACACACATACATACATACATACATACACATACATGCTTGTTTTTTCTTCTGTCTGGACCAAATCTCTGTTTACCTTGCTGGAAATGGCCCATTCCAGTCCTTTCTAGATATTCCATGAAAATTACACCGAGAAAGCCCCATTTTTAAGATGTTGCCAAGACAACAGCCAGGAAACAGGGAGGTCATTTTTCAGTGTACCAGTGTCAGGGACTACATTTCTTAGGGACTAAATGGAGAGTATAATATAATACTTCCACGTAGATTCTTAAAATAATCACATTTCTTCGAGTAATGAACTTTGATTCGAATTTGGTTACCCTTTGGTGGGCCTTCTTTAGCTTATTTCATATTCAACATTAAATTGCCACAGCCACTTTTTTGGTCATTGTGCCAAGTGTGCCACTAACAGACCAAAAACAAGGAGCGCCAAGATTCATGACAAAATTTATAGCAAAAGTAGTATATTTTGGCTTTCCTAGGCATCCTTTGGATCACCTCAAGCCCACAGGCTGTGTGGCTTCCTTAGGGACTCACCATAGCTGCTCACACGTGGCTTGATTACAGTGTTAGTGTGTCTGTTTTTAGTCTGCTTCTTTCCCTCCAGATCTTTCCTAGCTATCGATACTGTTACTCAACACACATTCTGATTTTAAAAGTACAGAGCATTCATAATGGATTGCCTAAAAGATCTGTTCCTCAGCGTAGCTTACTTGTATGTAGAGAGGTCACTGGAGAGATGAGTACATGGGCTGTTTTGTGTGAAGCTGCATGGAATGCAGAGCCCACAGGAGTGATGTGGGAAGCGTGGGATCATCAAGATCCTTCACTGCCCACCCAAAGCATTGCTCTATGGGCTTGGTTTGGACAGCCATTTGGCTGAACAACATGCTCTAGTCTGCTTCTGTTCCTCCAAGGAAGTAGAGGTGACTTCAGCCCCATAGCATGCTTTGAAGCTCCTGGTGGGATCTTTGATGTGTTCATCTTATTATGGCTTTGTTGTATTTTCTACTACCCCCACTTCCTACCAAAATCAATCAAACAAATCAGCACCACCACCATCATCACCACCAACAACAAAAAAACAGAGAACAAACACTACCTCCTCCCTTAAAAAACTTACATTTATATTACCACTATAATAATAATTCCATTTTAATAAAAAAATTCCAAAAACGAATGAATATATTTCATTAGGTTATATCAAACCCTGTGTGTGTTTGGGGGGAGGGATAAAGGAGCTTTCCAAAAACATTTTTAAAAATTCAATGATACAGAGACAAGATAATTCAGTAGGCTAAGGCACTTGTCACTAAGACTGACAATCCAAATTTGGTACTGGCAACCCACATGGCAGGAGAGAAGAGAGGCTGGCAAGTTGTCCTTGGATCTTCACAGTGTGTGACTTCAGTGTGTCCCATGTACACACACATATGCATATACACACAATCGATGAATAAATAGGTGTGTACCTTTAACAAGCTTTAACAGTTTGGTTATTCAAATGTGATGTGATTTTATATACTTTTGGCTGAAAGATAAAAAGGAAGCACACGCGTCCCCACGGCGCAGAATCTGGATGTGTGCCATGGATGAGGCTGCACTAGCTGTCTGGGGCACCCCAGCACAGTTCTCAAGCATTCTTGTATACTGAGTGGTACCCTTTGGAAACACTAGCTGTGAAATCAGTCATATACAAGACTTAATTATGTTGGGGGTTCTGTCATAACACGTCTCTAGAGCAGAAGTACATGCGTGGCTGCTGTTCCTTCCTCTAATTGGTCCTGTTACAGGCTCACAGTGCTCCTAGAGGAAAACACCATAATTTCTCCAAATGAGCAAGACTGGAGAACACCCCCTGGACAGTGCCAGCCCTTGAAAGCCCACTGACTTATGAGCTCCTTGGTAACCCAGTCCATGTTTATTGTTCATTATAAACAAAGAGAACTCCTTCTTTAAAGTCCTTTATTGATATTTTAGCCCAAAAGACACCTGTACTTGCAGCTTCCTTCATGTTTACATGCATGATCTAGAGCAGAGAATATGAAGGAAACACAACGAGATGAGCAAAGAGGATCCCTGATTCATTTAGGTTAAAAAAATACAAATCTCACTGGGTGTGGTGGTGCATGCCTCTGATCCCAGCACGCAGGGAGGTAGAGGCAGGAGTTCAAAGCCAGCCTGGTCTACAAAGTGAGTCCAGGACAGCCAAGCCTAGAAACAGAAACCCTGTCTAGGGGAAAAAACAGAGAAAGAGAAAGAAATGCAAATCTTCCCACCTCTCACACTCACAAACACATAAACATACACACAAAAACAAAAACAAACAACAAAACCCCATAGGTGGTTTTGCTTTATTTATGAAGTGAAACAAGGTAGATGCAGAAGAAATCCTTTTATCTGATAAAATCTAGGTGCAGTGAACCATCCTCTGTGTAGGATCCCCTGGAGGCCTTGCTTCTATCTGCTGGTGACAGGGTTGACCAAACCTCAGCTGTGGAGTCCTGTCTAATGCTGGTTACAGAGGCTCTTTCTGCCTCTTCCAATAAACAGGTCAGAAGTGCAAACGTGTCCCACTTCCATTCCTAACTTGCACATTTCTCTTATTGCTGTTCCCTTGCTTGCATGCTTTTTGTCTATGTTTTTGTAGCTAATGGCTGCTCAATAGAAAAGCACACAACAGCATAACCAATGATCATCACAGACCCAAAATTTAAATACAATTAAAAAAGAAATTCCTAAGAAAAGCAAGTAGTTAGTTACAGATCCTAACCACAATATAATAAATATATTGTGGACTATGTTATTATTGTATTACATGACTATGACTATATGGGAGATAAAGATTTCCATATAATGTCTATTCATGGTTTTCAAAAGCTGAGCCATGTAGTGAGAAAGAACATTTCAATTACTTGATGATAGAGCAAAGTTGTCACGAGCTTTACCTAAGCAAGGAGAATGCTAAGCCTGTGTGAGCCATTTCATGGCTACAGGTGCTAGCTGAGACTCTTTGTGTCTGCACTAATGTTAAATTATGGTAGTTTAATTTAACCATAGTTAAACCATAGTTTAATTAAACCATAGTTAAATTATGGTAGTACGGTGGCACTTGGCAGTGATAATTTTTTTTTTCTTTTTCAGTTTTATAAAAAGCAAGAGGGATTTAGGACTAATGCATAACATTTTCATTTTAATAAATGAGAAAACTGAAGCCTACAGTGACCAAGCGGTTATGGAATCCAAGTAATTAGAACTCAATGGAGTTGTGCCAGCACCGAGCCAGAGGTTCTGTGGTTTGTTCTCTTCTTCTGTGTCCCTTGGGTGCAGTTTTGTCCCACGTGATTCAGCTCACATAGAAAGGTGTTGAGGTGCCCAGGGATGTCAAGGATTGTTTCTTTGTCATTTACCATTGTTGTTGCTATTGTTATTACACTGTTCACAAACCTGCAATTCCCAAGCTTTTAACAATGAAACCATTACACATTTTTGAGGAAAACAAAAAGCAGCAACCTACTCTTTTCCGGAGCTTTTCTGCAGCGTCAAGTTCAGCTTTAATCGTTTTGTCAAATTTGTTCAGAAGTTTAGGCTTCTTTTTCTTAACTGAGAGAGAAAAAAAAAAGAGAGAGGTTTTCTATTTAACTTGCTTTTCGTCAAGGCAGTAACCAAAAATAAGGCTGAGAAACCAGGTTGGTGTTGTGATCTAGCATGAAACTACGAGAACAAGAATATTCCAGTTCCCTTTCAACCAGTGAGCACGGAGCCGGTAATACCGAGGAAGACTCTGCCAACCTGTAGGCTACCTTGCACCACATGGCACAGAAACTGCTGTTGCACAAACCGAACGTGGACACCATTTTGAAGAAGTCACTTTCTAACAGTGTCATCATTCTCCTGGTTACTTACAATCCCCTTAATGTTATTAGACCCATTCTGGTGATTTGTAGCCAGCTGTCTTTGTCCTACTGTTGTCATTACTTTGGGATGCCGTGATCCACGCTCATACTTGACAGAAAGACCTATGAGTCATAGCCACCCCCATGGATTCTGTGTTTCTGCTAAATGAGAACACGGCAGGCTCCCTTCTTATTCTTAGCACCATTTCTTATGCCAATTTCTAGACAAAATGACTTTTCTTATGTTTCTCAGTTGAAAATACTACTATGCTTTCACTAAAGCCATGTGACTGGCAAAGCCTCCCAATGTTGCTCAGTTTGCTAGCTCTCTCCCCACCTCTTGCTTCTTCCTGAGGCTTTCACTTCTTCCCTGCCTGTTCTTCACCATGCACATGTCTCTTTGCTGGTCCTTCCCCCATCTGACTCCTATTATCATATCCCTCTTGTACTTTCCTAGCCCAAATCAGACACTCCTGCAGGGATGCCTCATGTCTTAAGGCAAAGCTGAATCTTATCACTTATTTGGCCAGTGGTTTGGGGCCTAATGCAAAGCCCTTCCCCTAAAAGGATGCTACACTGTGCAAGACAGAGGGCAGGTCGGCTGGTACACACTCCTCCTCCTCAGTAGCACCCCTGGAAAACTCAGGTGCGCAGGATTCCCCAAGAGCCCAGCCTGACAAACCCAGAAGCTTGAAGGGTAAAACCGAAGCTTTCAGATCGAGAAATGAGGCACAATAGGATAAAAGACAACAATCCAAAGATGAATTCAATGATTTGTTTTTACATTAAACTTATAAATGTATTAACCTTTATTTTATTCTGGGACAAAGCAAGAAAGACTGCTTCCCAAGAGTCCATGCATATACCCACATACCCTTGTCCTCTGCCTGAAAAATGAATCTTCTTTGTATCTTACTTGTTAGCTCTACTTGGACTAGACTTCAATCCCTAGACCAACAACATTATTAAATGTTGTTGGTCTAGGGATTGAAGCCCAAGACAAACACATGCTATGAACATGCTCTACCACTAAGCTCTATTCCATTCTCTCTTTTTACTTTCTATCTTGAGGTAGGGTCTCATTAAATTCTCCAAAGCTGGATTTGAACTCATGCTACATCCCAGGCAAGTCATGACATTGTCACCCTCCTGTTTGAGAATGTGGTACACAACAGAAACTGGCCACCAACAAAACACCCAGCATCTTCACATTTTACTTGATCTGCTCCACCCAAGACAGCAAGCAAAACAATTTCTCCAATAAAAACATAAGAAAATTAACCCTTTTCTACTTGTTTTCTTTGCCTACAGTGGCATATGATTCTGAGGATCTTTCTGAAACATAGCTTGTTCGTGCTACTGTATTACTCAAAGCAATCTTGTAGATCCCAGAACACCCAAAACAAAGCCCGATTCCTTCAAATGTCAACCAATGTCAATCCTACCCATGGAAAATGACATCATGCGTTTCAAGAGTATGTGGTTCCAAAGCAGACACTAACTATCTTGCATTAGTCACCAAGTGGAGAAAAATTCAAAGTCCTCACCCTCTAAATACTATGATTGTATTTGGAATTCAACAGGAATTTTCCCAAGGAAGCTAGAGTTTTCTATAAAGCTAGCTTTCCATTGCTGTGACAATAAACCAGACAATCAACTTATGAAAAGGGAAGGTTACTTTTGGCCTAAGTTTTTAGAGACCTACGTCCATGCTCAATTGATTTTGGTCCTGGACTGAAGCAGCATGCCATGACACTATGCACAAAGAGGAAGAGGCAACAAGAAAACAAAAGCGGATGAGGAGGGGCTGGGATGCCAGTATCCTCCAAAGGCTCGCCCACAGTGAGTTCACGTTCTTCCACTAGGCTCCACCTCTTCAGAGCTCTGTCACTTCCCAGCAGTACCAGGAGCTTGAGACAAAGACTTCAATACATAGCCTTTGGGAAAGACTTGTGCAAACCATCGCAAGTGAGAAAGGCATTAAGGTGAAAACTGAATTTGAGAAAAGAGAATACAGGTTTACTGTACAAATACAGGTTTACTTAGAATAAGAAGACTTTCAGATTTCAAAAACACAGAATTTTTAAATCCTTACAAACACAAAATACATTATCTTGGTGACTGGACACAAGTTTACACATGAAAATAATTTATTTCATATATATCATATATACATACACACCATAGAGAAATCCTCAAGAACTGTTTCTGAAAGTATGAATGCATGAACAAATCAAGACATCCTAGAAGGGATGACAGCAGCATCACTTTGCAATTTAGGCATACTCGCATCCTTAGAATAAAAGCTACAGTTCTAAGCTAAGATACACAGTGAACTGAAGACTTTAAAGAATATCTAATCCAAATTGTTCAGTGGACCATAATGGAAAGGACAGAGGAGGAAGACAAGGAAAAGAAGCAATCAAGGCTCAAGCTAGTAATAGGAACAGGCACTGTCTCTGACATGAACTCAGTGGCCTGCTCTTTGATCACCTCCTCCTAAGCGGGGAGCAGCCTTACCAGGCCATAGAGGAAGACAATGCAGCCAGTCCTGATGAGACCTGATAGGCTAGGGTCACAGAGAAGGGGAGGGGGACCTCCCCTATCAGTGGACTGGGAGAGGGGCATGGGTGGAGACAAGGGAGAGAGGGTCAGATTAGGAGGGGACGAGGGAGGGAGCTACAGGTGGGATACAAAGTGAATAAACTCTAATTAATAAGAATAAAATATAAAAAATCTGATACTTTAATCCATATGAACTTTATTTCACTCAGAAAAAAATATTATTTAATATGTATGTCTTATTTACTTTTCCTGTTAGTATGATAAAAATATCCTGACAAAATCAACTCAAAGACGGAGACATTTATTTTGATACACAATTCAAGGTTTCATCATAAGGAAGCACTGTATTATGGTGTCAAGAGCTTGAGGCACATAGTTGCACCCAAGACATGACAGATGCCTGTTCTCAGTTTCCTTTTTCCTTCATATACAGTTCAGGAAAATGGCCTAGGGAATGGTGCCACCCATGGGTGAGTCTTCATATATCAATTAAAGTAATTAAGATAAAACCCCTGAGGCTTGTATCCCAGGTGATTATATCTCATTAGTGTGGACAGTTGAGGCTAACCATCAGAATATAAAAAAAATTAACTTCAGTATATATGAATCAAGTTTATATGAAACATAAAAGAATTACATGACAGGGCTTATGCCTCATCCTCAAGGCAGCTCACTGTGAATATATAAATATTCCCAAACTTTGGAAATCAAAAGCATTTCTAGTTCCAGATATTTTAGGTAAAGGATATTCGACAACTACAGGTATTCATCAGAAACATGCAGAACAGTGTTGACAGGCGTTTATTACAGTAGTTATCAAGGGTAGAATCTGATGTGAATCCATCAAATTTAATTAATTAATTTGAAAAGCAAAATAATTTTGGGGAAAGAAATACGAGATTATACTGTGGTATCCGAGAAAAACGTGCTCTCCGCCTGAGATGTAGGATGAAGCCAACAGTCACGTGACTAGCAATTAAGACAAATCCTACTAAACATTTTAACCTTCCTAGGTGAAAATAAGAAGCTACACCTGATGTTTTTAAAACAAAAATCACTGATACATTTCAGCACAGGACAACAATTAAGACAGGTGAGAAGGACAAGAAAACAATGGCGCAGACCCCTAAAGAGTCCCATGCTAGGGTTTTTGATGAAAATCTATCTGCTGAGCACAGGGCGAGCGCGCCTGCATCCACCAGTGTTCTGACGAGACCGGCAGGGGATGTGGGCTGGAGCCCTCAGCTATTTTCTCTTTCATTTAAAGGTGGGAATTGTGCAAGGTGTTCCCCACTGCTAAGCCTCCCACTGTTTCTGCAATCAGTTTGCTAGTACATCGAGAGACAGACAAGTTCTTTGCTGCTGGGAAACCCAATCACTGGACAGTCACGGAAGTGCTCCTGGCAGGAGCCTCCGTTTGTACTACTGGTGTGTGCGAAAGAAAAATTAATGTGTTTGATCCAAAAGTAACCCTTTATGAGGCTTCATTCTCTAAGGCCACACACTTCATAAGTATGAGTGGTCTAACCTGCCAGCCCTCTGCCGCAGTGTGATGGGAAGGGTGGACAGTGGCCCCTTCCTTGCCTCCTACAGTGGAGGAATAATGGACCTTTGTTCTCCTCAAAATTAAATACCAGCTACAAACCAGCGGGAGTCCAATATTCAAAGCTTACCCTGAACAGTGAACATAAATATTTTTTCAGCTAAGAGACACTAACTAATACAACACAGTAAACATTATATAAAGGGCAATTGTTTTCATCTGCCCCCTCGATGGAACTACTTCGAGATTCAGCTGGGAGCACTTCGTGGAGGCAGCAAGTATTTCAGTTCATTAAATGGAGTGGGCTGTCTCCCCATAGGGTTATTTTAATAAATTATACATCATTCCCCTTCTACAGTAATAATCCTTTAACAGATGTGACCCCATATGTTAGATTAGAAATTTTAGACACTAAGTGATATGTTTTTTTAGACATTACTGAAACCCCATCAGTGCCAAGACAGTCCATACTCTCACGCACAGTCATTACGAATGTCATCTCCATGGGCACTGCTCAGGAGGAAGGATCTCAACACAGGCTTAACTCCAGACCCAGGACTGACAACCTTGGTCCTCTGGTTCCCTAACCATTAACTGAG